CCCCAAAACCCCAAAACCCCAAAACCCCAAAACCCCAAAACCCCAAAACCCCTCTTTTATTACTATCAATGAAAGTAATTTAATAACTCTAAATCTAAAATAGAAGAGTATCGGTTATAAATAATCGTTTCTCCAGTCTACAAGACGTAGACTAAGGACCATATTTGTGGAACAAATCTTGATTGAAACAAAATTAGATGTTTAGAACCCAATACAGGTCTCTCCAAGAATGACTCTCTCAATTCTGTTGGTCAAGTCTTCGTCCAAGAATTGAACATCAATATCGTTAGTGTATGCACATCCCAAGTGAATTGGTTGTTGATTCAAAACTTCATCGATGATTTCAGCTTTGCATTCTCTGAGAGCTCCTCCGAATTGACTGCTGAGATGAACAGGATTGACGGTATAGAAACTATCGAAGCAAACTCTTCCGTCTCTGTAGAGAGTGAAGGAAGTTGGCATTCTGAAGTCGACGTACTCAACACCAATTCTGAAATATCCTGCAGCTGGCCAGGTGGTTCCATTGGTTCTACCGTATGTGCTTCCCCAGACGAAAGGAGTATAGGTTACTTCATAGAAGTTCTCAGCAACGTCTCCAGGCTCGACAATCCATCCAACGATAAGGTCAAAGAACCAATAAACAGTGATGTCAATTCCTGGGATGAAGTTGATCTGCCATCTACGTTGGTACTCGAGAACAGCTTTATTTTTGGAAAGATTTTCCAAGATTGGGATATACTCATTTGCGAGTTTCACGAAAGCTCCGATCTTATTCTGAGTGTCATCAACAGGGTTGATCTGTCCTTTCACTGCAAAGCCGATAGGTGATTCTTCATGTAAGTCAACGTTGAATTTGATATTGCCATCTTCTTCATGAATGTGATGTGCCATTCCGAAAGCAATTAATGCAATCAATAGTATGAGAATCTTCATTTTTAATATTTCTAATGAATTCAGCCCTTATATTTTAAATAGGGGTTTTGGGGTTTTGGGGTTTTGGGGTTTTGGGGTTTTGGGG